ATAAATATTTTGACGATCTGTGACGTTCCGTATCCAAGTGTCATACAATCCACTAAAACATGTCGGTAAAAGTCTTCGTAGTTCCTTACAATCCAATAAGCTCAATTAACCACACATACAGACCTAAATACGAGTACATCACTTAAAAATTAAATAAGATACCTCCAGAACATTGAGGGTCTTTCCATCCTGGTTCACACCCATAATGACACATGCCGGAAATAGGATTACAGGATTGATTCACACATTTCTCACATCTCAAGGAGCAGTTCTGACCATACGATCCGTTGTTGCAAACTATTTTTAAAATCTAAGTAATTAATTTATAAAACAAAAAGCTCCCACATATGTATATTATATATACTAAAAAAGTTTTTAATAAAATTAATCATGATAAAACAATTATTCATACATTGCTCACAAGTTGGGCCTTGGTACCCACTGATGCACCCAAAGTTGCAGTTTCCATTGATATTATGACAGCTTTTTCCAAGACAGGAAGGGCATTGTTTCAAACACTTGTGTCCGAAAAATCCGTGGCTACAAACTGAAATATGGCGTAAACGTAATTCAAGGAAACCAAATTCGTTTCTTGTATATTTTTATTAAACGTTATGAATTTTCTTCGAGAATTTGTTGTAATCGTAAATCAAAGACATACATGTAGTAACCAACTCATATAAGTTATTTAAGAATCGCTATTTGGAAACCCGTATCCGTTCATCTAGTATCAAGTAGATTTTGCAAGATATACATTATTAATCCCAGGATATCATCATTGTTGTGTCCTTGACAAGTCGACAGATTATCTCGGGATATCATAAAAAAGGATTACCCTACTAGGAAATTTTGTTTGCCAGACGCAAAATTTAGCGATTTGTTACGAAAAATTCGTAATTTATTTTTAGCGAGATGATGTGATCTTAACACCCTTGCTTATGATGCCAACATAAAATTCTCTGCTTACACGGTATTTGGTTTTAAGTTATAAAAAAAAACAATATCACTAAATATCACTCTCCAAATAAATAACATTTTTACACTTATATTATTAATTTGTAACTGAACAACTCCGAACGCATCCAGGATTCAAATGTCACAGCCATATTTAGTGATAAGTGATAAATATAACATTCGTAAAAGACAAATAATTCCTTTCTATTTCTTAAAAATCAACCATTTACCTTTATCACAAAGTTCTCCCTGGTATCCAGGTTTACATCCACTGTCACATCTTCCTGTTGTTCTGTTGCAGATTAAATCGTTAAGGCACTGGCCACTACAGTTATTTTTACAATCCGGACCAAAGGTTCCAGAAACACATGCTGTCAGGGAATTATAAAAGGTAGATCACTATCTATCATTTTAATTTCTACTTAGATATATAATATAGTTTCCAGTGCAAATACTGATAATTAGATATTCATTCATTCAATCAATGTCTGTAGTAAAGGCTTACTTTTGTTACAAGACACACCCATCCATCCGTCTGAACAACCATTCAAGCAGGTACCATTAATGGGATTGCAAGTGAGATTATGTTTGCAGTGTCCAGAACAAGGTAACGAACAATCAGGTCCATACTTTCCATTTGAACAGGCTTCATAAGAAGACGATTGCATATTTATGTCGATTACAATATTAATTTCATACAGATAATAATCAAACATATAAAAACTTCATTTAATCTTTTAGTTTTATTATCCTTCGAACAACTAGTTGCAAAGAGGATAAAGCATCACTACTGTGCGTATACGGTGTGTGTGTATGTGTTAGTGTGTCCGTAGCTTTTAGGCAAGATTTAAAGAGAATCGTTCCATTGTCATTTCTCAACATCTACATACGTATGTGGCATTGTAAAAGGACGAACCCTATTTATTTTCAAGTGAATCGGTGAAAAAAATCTTAAAATATTGCGATTTTATTACCTTTTAAGCTGAATTTATATGCACCTATTGATACATCTATTATTCACACCGTTAAATTAAACTGGTCAATATGGGTCACTTCGATGGGCACGCTTCGGCAACTTTTACTCTGTGTTTGTGTGTAGTTATATTATTGTATGATCTTGAGACAGTATATCTGAATATAAAGTGTCATCTCTGACACTTAGTAAAATTAATGAACATCGCGGTTTCATTACCAAATTTCCACACGAGTCTGTCTACAATGTGGAATTTATTCTCGAGATGCACGTATTTCTTGAAAGCTATAGAGACATTTCATTTATTGACCTCTCAACAGCGGTATTATATTGTCTTTTTTCATTACGAAAAAAAATATGGCTTCCGTGGGTGTTCTCATATTTCATGCATATTTCATGTAACTGTGAGATATACACAGGTAGGTACATGTAAAGTGTTGAAATTTTGAGTAAACGTGATATTTTCCTGCTAGAATAAAGGAAACAGCCAAATTCGTAGGCTATGTTATGCACCATCGTCCATCGCCATGATGCTATGCACCTTGATTTTGTTAAAAAGAGACCTCCACCACAGGATGATATCATCCTCGATTTTTTGCTAAAATTTAAAAAAAATGTTGCAATACATTTTATTTTCTTAACCTTATTTTGAAAGTCTATATAGTAATCAGTGGCGGATCCAGGAATTTCGTAACGGGGGGGGGGGGGGGGGCAGTAGACGGCGGAAGGTCAGGATGCTGTACAGAAACCCCATTAGGTCTAATGCAAGATCCTTTTGGGGGGTTTAGGGAAACTGACAATTTTTACAAAAGAGATGTTTTACTTGATTTTAAGATATGGACATATAAATTAAACAAAACAATTTCAAACGGGGGAAGGGGGGGGGGGAGCTGGATCCGCCTTTGGTAATACTCGTACTTGACTATTACTGATTGTATCTTGTTTTACGCCCCTCTTGCGAATTTATCTATCACATATAGGAAGATATTGACATTACCGATGAAGTTCCTTCATTTAACTTTCATGTAAAAAGACATTCAATATTTCGTTGAAATATTTAAATATAATGAGGTATAAACAAGTCAGATTACCTTGGTCACATTTAATGCCAGTCCAACCACTTGCACATCCAAGGCATGTCCCGTTTGTGACGAAACATTGATCATTTTTGCAATGCTCAGGACACCAAATATTGCAATTATCACCATAGTAACCTCTCTTATCACAGCCTAATGCCATAAACTTTTTTCTTACAACATTTAACATCAATATGTCATTGATTACACTTTAAAACATAACATTTATATCACAATATTAATTGTAAATTTATATATTACTTTAAAAAATAGGTTCATAAAAGTTTCAATGAACATGGGATCACGCATATGTTTTAATGCTCGTTCTATTTGGATTCAAATCAGAAAACTAGAAAGCAGTGTAGGAAATCGATGAGCAGCAAATCAAATTGAATGCACATATCTGTTATGATCCCTTAAGTTACATGCATTTAAAAAGGAGTATAAACAATATTAATTTATTTAAAAAAAACTATTCATGATAAAGAATTGCTCAGTTTGAATTGAATATATCGGTTTACTAAACTTCACTTATCATTATACTTAGACCCTTGATAACTGCATACACATTATTTGCTTGATAGTTCTGCTACTTAATCTATTTTAAAGACGCGTCATTAATTGTGTCATTATTCTTTAATTATATTTTTGTTTCAAATGGCTCAAAATTTAAGCTGTTTTTCAACATTTTGTAAATACACTTATATATTTACATTTCCAATGTCTTTGTCCGAGATGAACAAATATTTAAAGTACTTTATTTCTTCGTGAATGTACTGGTTCATCGAGAGGCGCGGTCAAATGTAGAGACAGAAGCGGGGCTTGTGTCATGTAGATTGGCGGAATCAAGAGCATGCAAATATAAGGAATAACTGTCAAGAGTTTTCAATTTCATGACGATGATCAATCGATTGGCTTCCGTGATAATTTTATGCATAAACGCCGAAGGCGTTTTATGCAAATTATCACGAAAAACAATCGATTGATCACATCATGAAATGGAAAAATAAGACAGTTAATTATTCCTTAATTCTGGTCTAAAATGTTGAACTATATATATATTGTACTAGTTCTGAAGATTAAAATCCATGTTTTGTTTGAAATTGTGGGTAGGGGTAATATTTTCATCAAGTTTTAGAAACATTACAATTTCACAAAATTGTCACGAAAGCCCGTTCTTTAATCCCAGAGTTCTGAAAGCAAACGAGAAAAGAAACGAAAAAAATGAGATTTGGTCAGTAAATTGGTATATTTACAGGGTCATTTAATGGAGTAAAGGACATAGGTTAAGTTTTCTCCCAGTAGTATTTTATTCCGTAAAAATAATATTCAGCAAAAATAATGAAACTGCATTATATTTTTTATGTATCTTTGTTGTAGTAAACTATTAGATAACATTGCATTAACATGATTAATTTGGAGAAATTCACTTACCTAGAACGACTAAATTGCATAATTCTATAAACGTTAACTTGTTATTGACAAACTGAATATATCTTCCAAACGAAGCGCAAACGTGTTCCGTAGTTAATGATGGAAGATAAGACCCGTTATGTTTGAAGCACAATTCACCACTTTCTTTCGCTTGAGAATTTGAAACATAAATGGAATATCCTGATAAACGATCTTGTTGTCTTGATCCTTGAAAATAAAATCAATAAAAGAGCAATAACATAAAAGGTTCTGTTAAATGATTTTTTAAATATCACATTTTGTTTTGTTTATAGACACTTCTTTCAAAGAAACACGCACTTAAGTCCTCACTGTACAATCGAAAGGAAAAGTTTATGGCATATATTGCTTTTGTCTCTCGAAGATCAACCATCCACCATGGATCATGTTCTTTATCTGTCCTAGTACATGTTTCCATGTTGTCATCCACAGCCATACTGGAATTGTATGATACATCTGGACAGCCCAAGCATGGATGCGTTGTACTTTGAGTCGTTAACTGTTTTCGAGAAAGATCATCTAGATTAAATAAATAGGTAAATTAGAAAAGAAACAGGGTGCGTAATATATCTGAATCTATGAGATACAAGAGCATTAAAACACATACCATAGCCAAATGAAGAGAGAATCACAGTTAATATGAAACTTATCCCAAGAAACGTCATAGTCAAGTCAAATATAGAACGCAGATGGCTTTACATGAATAATCCAAAGCGATATGAACACACATATGCACAATTCCAAAATTTTGTACAGTTTTGTTATGTTACGAGGGCGGAGCAAAAAAGATTGAATAATTTCATTCTTAGGCTCCGCCCAATATCTATAAAATTTATAAATACTGGAGAGATTTTCGACTAATTCTGTCTTGATACTAGTTTATTTATAAAATATATGAATTGCATTCTTTTATTACGATTCAATCCTTCCCACTTCTTACACAGAAGCTTAAATTTAGCCCTATAAAAGGCTTTCTAAAATTGCAAAATATGTGAATGGACCTCCATCTGGTCACCTTATTTCATGATATGATCTCGATTAAAGGTTCGTTAGGGGGGAAATGCTTCAGGTACTTTCGGATAGCGAATTCGGCTGTAGTTTTTAGTGACCTGAAGCTATTCCACAAAATTTGTGTCAAGTTGGGACATTCTATAAGCAATTCCTCAGTGAATCCCCTGAGATGCATAAGCAAAAAGTTCTCCTTAAGACTATTTCTGATCGTTAAATACAGGCAGGGTTCTCCAAATTTGAAAATTTAACCACGGAGGAAGCTGCCCGAAGGCGAAATGTGGCCGAAAACTTGAATGCGTCTTAGACTACCTAATCTTCATTAATCAATGATTAGTTTAACAATTCTCAAACTTACCCATTGAAACACAAAACAATGGAATAACTAACACTTTTTAACGTAAAAAAAAATAATAATTAAATTGAAAAGGATTTAGTTGTATCTCACTTCACAAATGTACCGAAATTTGCCCAAAATTATAGTAACCTGAAGGAATTTAAAGAAACATTGTTGATACAGTGATTCAGTAACCATGGCAATATTTTTTTCAGAAATTAAGAATTATAAGAATTGTAGTCTGTTGTATGGAATGTTTTGTTTCAATATGACTAAAACTGATGAATGGGTTGTATTTTTTAAAGTTAAAACACTAGGGAACATTTGGACTATTGTCCTTTTTTCAAAATGTTTTATTTTTCTAGATATTGCATATTCCACCAAGTTTTGTTTACTTCTCCACGTGCCCAGTGCTAAAAATAGCGCCACGCGACGTTTCATAACAACAGGAAGTTACTCCAAAACTAAGACGAAGACGGCGATTAAAACTAAGACGGCGATTAAGCCGTAGGCCCTATGCACATTTTATCAAAAATATAATAATGTTAAAGCTTAACAAACAGAGCATGGGAATTTGACTAAGTGTAGAGGAATATAGAAATTTTACAGAGTATTATTTCTGGCACAGAAACTTGATTCGCATGCATGACGTTTATCATGCTCTTAATTGTCATCTTTTTAGACCCATTATATATCTAATCAAGTAGTGAACATGTTGAAGTTCCACAAAATTATTTACATGTGGGCAGGATAATAAACTCTCAATACAAAATGATCATCTAATCAGCTGATTGACTCTTCATTGATTGTCACACTTCACAGCATAATCGCTGATTAATTAACAGTCAATAACGACATGTTTATTTAGCACAGTCCGCTTTCATTCGAGGCATGCGAGGTGCAGGACAGTCGTTGTATAAACACAATTAACTACTCAAGTCATTAAAATAGCAGGTGTCAGGGCTGAAATGCAATAAAATTTAATCATGGCGGCTGTCGATTTTAACCATGGCGCAGCTCGTTTAACCATGGCGCACATAAATTTAACCATGGCGGGCCGACATGGTAAAACCCCTTGTGGAGAACCCTGACAGGCATAAAGAATTCTGGAAAAATTTATGGTCTTATAAGTAGAAAGCAAAATAGGAACTGAAGAGTTCTATGAACAAAATTTGAACAAAATTTGAAGTTAGGTTTGACTGTTTTATTGACTGTTTAATTACAGGAGATAATGAAAACTCTCTCATGCAGCTTGGTTTTAGATGAAGTGGAGAGTTTTCTTTTTGTTGATAACCCTTCAAATGTTCAAACAGGGTAAAAATAAGTTTCTTCAGATTCACTCAAAACACTTGTTTCTGCTCATTGGAATTTTATTTTAAACAGTGACTTTAAAGAATTAAAAAAATACCCCTATGACTAGTGTCGTAAAAGTTACATAAAGTTAAGCTTTGTGTCTACCATATAGATGATTTCATTCTTTCTTGAATGGTCACTGTCTTAAAGATGAAAAAACAAGATGTGTTTGTGAAACACTGATGCCCCCGTATGGCAACATAGCTAAGATTAAATTTTTCTTAAATGCAAATTTATTTAATTAGTAACAAAAGTAGGGTATTCTCACCGGAAAACAATTGTGAAATTTGAAAGTAGGCAAATGTTAATGTTTTTTCAATAAGTAAAAAAATCTGCAAGGTCAAGGTCAAATGGTCAATGTAATTGGTATCAAATGAAAGCTCTTGTCACATAGAATACTTATGTAGAGTATGGAAGTCCTAGCCCTTACCGTTCAGAAGTTATGGCCAAGGATTTTTTAAAAAGTAGGTTAAACTTTAAGGTCAAGGTCAAAGGGTCAAAGTTCTTATTATCAAATGAAAGGTCTTGTCACAGGAATTAAATATGTAAAGTATGAAAGCACTAGCCCTAAGCATTTCAAAATTATGGTCAATGTTTGCATATTTAGGCCAGTCTCAAAGGTCAAGGTCAAGGGTCAAAATTCTTGGTATCCAATTAAGGGTCTTTTCACAAGGATTACACATATGAAGTATGAAAGCCCTATCCCTTACCGTTCAAAAGTATGGCCAAGGTTAAAGTTTTTTCACAAGTACGGAAATCTACAAGGTCAAGATCAAAAGGTCAAGGTTGTTGGTATCCAGTGAAAAGTTTTTCAACAAAGATTACATATGTGAAGTATAAATGTCCTGGTATCTACTGTTCAAAAGATATGGCCAAAGTAAAAGTTTAAAAATTTTCATGTAAAAGTGGGTCAAACTCCAAGGTCAAGGTCAAAAGGTCAAATTTGGTGGTACCCAAAAAAGGTCTTGTCACAATAAATACACATGTGAAAAATGAAAGTCATAGCTCCACTAAATCAAAAGTTATGGGCAAGTTTAAAGTTTTTGCGGACAAACAGACAAACAGAGAGACACAGAGACGGACGTACACGACAAAAACTATATACCCCCGAAACTTCGTTTACGGGGGCATAAAAACGTTAATGAATTGATGCCTTTGGTATGATTGAATTGTTGTGGAGAAATATTCTAACCCTAAAACATTCAAGGTAGCTTGTAGACATGCAAAGAGAGAAGAGGGTGACAAATTCTTTAGATATTCCAAGGACAAAAGTGGCAGATATATCATGCAGTTCTAAGAGAGCGGAGGAGTTAGATACTCCTGAGCAGACTTCTCAGTCCAGGTTTCATTGATGGCTACCGATACACGGCGCTTTTTTTACTAACTAACAATATGCTTCTGAATGACAATATATATGTGGTTCTTGGAGACCAGCCAGGTCTTCCAACAAGATAGTGGTTATCCCACGGGTATCAATTGTGCCCCTCTGAAAAGAGATAACACTTGCTGTGGCCTTCAACTCGGCATTTAGATATATCGACGACGTACTCTTAATAAACAACATATGGTTATTTCCATTCTTATGTCGATAAAATATATCCTAGTAAGTTTAAAATAAAAGATACCACAGGGTCTAATACATTTCTTTCATTTTTGTATATTGTTCTTGTCTAATGGTAATCTAAAAACCAAGTTCAATGACAAATGTGATGATTTTAACTTTTCAATCGGTAGCTTCCCTTATGCAGCAATATACCTCCATCATCTTTAAACGGAGTTTATAAAATTCAGTTGATTCGATGCCCAAGAGCATGCTCCACGTATGTACAATTTCTAACACGAGGTAAATTATTTACAAGCAAGTTCATAAAACAAGAATATCAGCTGTCTCGTTTAAAGTCATCATTTCGAAAGTCCTGTGGTCGATACAATGACTTTGTCAACGAATACAGTTAATCATTGAGTCGGGTTAAATGCTGACTGACGTTTTTCATACTTATTGTTAGTCCATTAATTGTACACTGAATTGACGACGGATACACGGCGGGTTTTACCGGTCAGCAAGGGATGCTCACTCCTAAATGACACCTAACTGACACCTGACCAACTTCTGATGTTTTGGAGGTCTTTGCTTGCTCTGCTTCTATTTCATATTGCTTTATCGACTTTTGAGCTTGAATACTGTTCGTTATCTAAAGAACTTTATTCGGTAATAACAAATATTTGCCCCCCAAATCAAACTTTGACGGAGATATATTCAACTGAGTTCTTAAACAGGGGAGTATATGCTGACTTCAAAGCACTGAATATTTTAATAATTAATGACGCCATATGTACGTAATGACGTCACAAACATGACGTAAATGTCAGTTTTTTATGAGTTTTACAGAAAAATGTAGTCATATTTCGTCGATATTTTGAGTAAAAGTCCCAGAGCGCATGTTTGTTCAGGATCAATATTTCGATATAATGTGTAGAATGATACTATCAATGAAATATTGTCAATATTGTTCCTGAACAAACTTGCGCTCTATAAATTTTAAAGCTAAAATTGTTGAAATTTTGTCCATTTTGTCCTCTTTCTGAAAAAGGATATAAAATCGGACTAGTTTGTGACGTCATAAAAACAAAAATTGTGAATACACTGCTTTGATACTATAATATTTTCTGTTAATTTATATTTCTCATACAATATATTGAATTCAGCACATTTCAGGAGATATAAAATCTGACTTTTGTGGGGGCAAATATATGCAATATACCGCATATAGTTCTTTATTACATCTCTCCAAATCTCCCAAGAATCTAATAACA